ACATAGTTATTTCCAAAGTCGGACCGTGAAGGGGGTACATTCCCAGACGTTTTGCCGGCATCGTAGTCGGCATCGTTAGTGAGTTGTAATATGGTGCTACGAATGGTAAAACTCACTGACGATGCCGACTACGATGCCGGCAAAACGTCTGGGAATGTAACACGTCTACGGTCCGACTTTGGAAATAATTATGCATACAATGGACTCAGGACAAGGTGCGTTTTTATAAGTCTTCCTACCATTATGCCCAAGTTGCGAAAACAAGTTTATAGCTATTGGTCCTACTTCTTGGGGGACCCCATAGCAATATTATCTCCTATGATTTTAGCGCATTCCTTTTATAGTGTTATTTTAAAATGAGTAGGACATAAAGACATTGATGCACTTGTTTGCATGACAAGTCCATTGGGAAAGTTTTATGTACATTCATAAATATCTTGAATCTCTACTCAGAAATTTTTCGAGATTGCCCGTAAATAGGTTATATTAGCTTTGATCGAAGATATGAAGACCAAGATGGTGTGGCCTTTAGTGTGGTCGCAGTCTCCTTTCGTCAAACAACTTCTATATTAGCTTTGTTTATCCAATTCAGTTTAAAGTGATGGAGCACTGATGGTTGAAATTTCCTACAATTATATGAATAGACCTTAAATTTCCATAACACAGATAACCTCGCTTCCCAAAAGATATTATCATCCAAGATGGGCTGCAGTTTCAACATCACCTAGGTCTCATCAGCACCGCCGGTGGGACTTGAACCATGATTGCGCAGTGTATAATGTCAAAAGTGAACCAATTCACCACCTTGACACCAGTGCATATAGGTCACAGGTCAGGTGTGTATTTTAAGGAAGGCTAGGCATTTTCCCATATTACATTTTGTGGCGGGATTCTCGATGATGCAAAGGTATATTTGCTCTATCTGTCAAATACACTATTGTGTGTGTGTGTGTGCTAACATCTGAATAAGCAATACCGTCCATATCACAGAAAGAAGTTGAACATGGGAACAAAATATGGGTTTCAAGGAACCTCTTTGTTTATACTTGTTCATCTCACTTCCATTTGAGGTAAAAGTGCTTGGTAATGGTATTCTAAGGTCGATCTTCTCATAAGACGACAGAGTATTCCTCTCGCCCAGCTAACTATCAACTTTACTTAAAAATTCTTGTTAAAATTGTCTCCCAGGCAATCTTCCTCAATTTCGGTGAAGAAATTGCTTAGCTTTTGTCAGTCATATGATGGAAATCATCGGCGCATCAGCCTAAAGAATATTAAAACTAACTAGTCAAGAAAACTCATTAACGCATAATCAATGTTTAATGATGCAAGAAAAAGCATGACTAAGATTAGGTAGGCCTGAAAAAACTTTGATTGAAATGATGGGATGTAAGCCTGTACGCGAGTAAATCACGTAACGAGGCCTTCAGTCATAACTGCGATTGCGTAATATCTTCATCTTAAACGTCATATTGAAGCCAAACGTCTGCAAAACAAAAGGACTCGGACATCGTCATGTGGGGAGATCGACCTACGAGTCTCTTTCTCATACACTTTCGCACGAAATTAAAAGCTTCAAAACACTTGTCCTAAACCTTTACTATGATCGGTCTTAGGTGTACCAAGCAGAACGATAGCTGGTTGGTTGTTTTATGGATTTTGGGAAATAAGACGATCTTATTTTCACATATCGGGTTGTATTAAACATGGATCACACGAGTAAAGTCTCCGCCCACAGTCGAACTCGAATCAGGCTCATGTAGATACATCCTGAATAAGAGATCTAGATAAAGAATTTTCTCACAACGCGATGAATAAGCCTCAAGAGGTCATTCAACTAACCTTGGTCTTGCCCCTTGAAAAGTATTATCATCTCAGCTGAACTTTATTTTTGAGCTTGCCTAGTTCTCTGCGGCATCCTAGCAGCAGTCGAATCCAGGAAGGTGAAACTTGACAACACTCGATCAGGAGTGTTTTATGTGTCTACGCATTGATTCTCAATTGACGTGGATTGCAGGCATCAATGCACAATTGACAGCCAGAGTCGAACCCAGGTCGTGAGGATTAGGAGGCGGACTCCGCATCCATCGGTTGTTGGTGCAATGGACGTATGGGTAATGCGAAAGAGACGTCTTCGATGGAATGACAATCTATTTTTTGATCCTCTCTCTAAGGTGCACTTTGGCTCGATCTGACGCCAATTTTGGTACCATTTCGTCCGCCAGACCCGATCATAAACGTCCCTCTTGCCAGACGATCTACTTCCGGCCGGTCAGACTGTCTCGTGTTAGCATGCCAGTGCGTCACTATGACAGCGCTCTTCCAAAACGAGCAACAAGCCCTCAGAGGCAAGTGCACTTTCACGTCTCCAACTGGACAACTAAAGTGGGCATATGTAAAAACGGATGGGCGTTGAGCCCCACCGTCCTCGCGACAGGGTAGCCTGCAGAAGACAGTGACTGGGCATTCGTGATTGCTGGCTCCATGCTAGTCCCGGTCGGCAAGACGATGATGGGACACGAGCAAGCACTGGAAAAAACCGGCGCGAAGGCAAAAGATTAAAGCAAAGATGTGAAAGGGCTTGGAGATTATGGGGACCATTTGTTGGCGAACAGGTTGAGGGGCTGTCCCGAAGTCTTCAATCGTCCGCTTGATAGGAAATAAAAACTGCGAAACACGACTTCGGTGTGTGCATGTGTGCCTGCCCTTGCGAATGACAGAATTAGGGAGGGATCGAGTGAAAGACAGAGAGGGAGAAAAAGAGAGAAAGAGGGAGGGAGAGGCTCAAGTGCAGGTTAGGGAGTTAAAAGTTGTAGCGGTGGTGACGGAGATGCCGACAGTGAGGCTGAGAGTGCCGTTTGAAGGAGCCAGGCCCTGGAAGCCTCTTTTTGGGACAACATGGTGGCTCAATAAGAAAGATTTTATTCTCTTTGAGATAAATGTTCCTTTTGAGACGGCAAAGATATTTTTCCTGATATTATCAATGGCGGGAAATATGGTCCTTCTGCGGCTCTCTTCAACGGGGGGCTGGCCGAAAGGTATGACTTGGCTTAACAACCTGTAAAGTACCTTTCTGTGAATTACTCTTCTCGGCTTGCAGAAGGGCTCCGAGCGTAGGCAATTAAAGATATCTTCTCGGGGCCAGCAGATTCTCAAACATGCGGGATCCTCGCTAGACTTCTCGAGGCCTAGAAGTTCTTAATTTTGTCGGTTCCATAGTAAAATTTCCTTTTATAAGTGGTTTTTCTAGACTACCAGTGGATCTTATGTATTCATCCTATTTCGTATAAGACGATTAAAGTAGGGTAATTAAATTGTTACAATGATTTGATTTCATATAATTAATGTGTTAAAATTATACCATTCATTGCCAGGGTTCGAGTCTCACTAAGACCTATTCGAGGGTAAAACTGCCGTCCACCCTGGATGAGAATACCTTTTAGCAAGCAAGGCTCTGTAAAATTCAGTGGAAACATGAAGCCTACTCATATGATTGTGGAAAAACTCGACTAACTGTGTTTCATCATTTTAAACAAAATAGGATGAATAACCCTCATAAAAAGTTTTATGCTTTCGGCTTCAACACAAGCAAAATATAGCAAAAATACCAACAAATGACAATAAGTGGGCCTGTACTGAGGCGATCAGTGGAGGCTGTACAAACCGAGTTGAGGAAAAGGGAAGTTTTGATTGGACGTTCTTTTATGCAACAACACCAGCGGGTCTCGAATCCTGAATTTATAGTCCCATAACCCTTGCGTCACTAAGCCACAGGCTGTTCACGATTTTGGTGAGAAGTTTCTGCTATTGACGATTGTTTAGTGTTAGTCTGTGTGCCTCTAAACTAGACATTTTCATGACTTGTAATTGCACTGTTTCCATGTCTACAAACGGGAGTCTCATTAGACTCTATTTGTATGTGGAAAATCCTCCTCCAATACTGGAGTCTATCTAGGATTTGATGGTGTGTATGCCTCTGATCGCTCTAGCCTTATATGTCCAAAAAATATGTTCATATAAAGCAAATCCCACGGGATTCTAATCACGGCCATTGCCGACTCGGCTGTCACTTGTTACGGCTCATGTGAGTTCTTGTACAAGCATCTAACGTTTGTTTGATACACTACATTCGTGAACATATTCTGTGCATTTACCGCGAGGCTGGCAGACCCCTAAGCAGGCGGAAATGAACTGCACTCAGCTGACACATGATCTTCTCGATACCTTGCTCTCACTTACCCGCTTGTTAAGCTCACTCCCATTTCGAGTGAAAGTTTACTAGATAAAGAGATTCGAAGGTCGATCCCACCATGAGATGACGGTGGATACCTATTGGCTAACTGTAAGTCAGCATGCTTGCGCTGTTTTCGAGACCTGCGATTCCGGTGAAATATTCATCGGTCACTTGTCCTAACTTATCAGATAGGGTTATCATTCTTATCATCATATTTTAGGTGCTGTATATACGCCCTATAAAATGCTTTGATTACTTCAAAGGATAGATAAATATAAAAGCAAATTTGTGTGTGTGCTTGTGTTCACCCATATGCCTAGCTTGAATAATACACTGCTCACATGATGTCCGGCATACGACGGACAACAATGTCATCTCATAGTGTGATCAACCTTCGAATCTCCTCATCGCATACTTTTACTAGTAATGAAAGTGTGCTTAACAGTCATAAACGCAATAATTCCCAGAAAACCAAACGTTCTTTGCAAGAGTTTTTGGTTTATGGATTTAAAATGGCCCTACGATGGTATATTGCTACCTGCGCCTAAGAAGACAACAGCCACCACTCTCTGGGAGCCCAAGAGACTCGGTCACAGGTCTCAACATATGCCATTGGATTGTCATTTATTGCTAATCTGTATACATGTACCGGCTTGAGTATGAACCTGTGGATAATGGGTTAGAAACACCCCGAAAGTGAAAGCTTGGTGGTCCATAACATAAGAACGGTATTCACCATAGTTTATTTAAGGTTAAATTTTCCACAATGATATGAGTAGGTATTCTTATCCAAGCTGCACTAAATCTCCTAGCATCACAAAGCTATGTGAAACTTTATGGAACATAGTGTGAAAGTTAACTACTAATCATTAATTACCTTAAACGAAATATAAGCTTGACTGGTTGCCTCTAAAACCTAGTCTAATCACAAAAGCTGTATATCCTATCATTTTAGTATATACATTACGAGATCCTATTCTGAATGAGTGCGCATTGACAAGGGATGATGCATCAATATAAACTGAGATGCAGAGTCGTCTGCTGAGCAAAACAGCCTCCTTTTCGGTTTAAGTAGACTAACAGTAGTTATTACCTAGTACCACTTAAAGTGATTTAAATGGTGTCAGGATGCCAGTGAATTTCACTAGGCTATCTCATACAGACTGTACCGCAGTTTTCACTTCACCTCGGTCGCATCAGCAACCTTTACAAGATTCGATGTGATCGCAGATCAGAGTTGCAAGAGGGTCACAGGGCAAATTTTGAATTCAAGACATTTTTTCAATAGCGGAGTATCGATTACACAAAAATGTGTTTAGCATTACAATCAACTGTTACCTGAAGTTGATGTGACTAGATTTCGAGACTCTTAGTAATTCTTGACTAACAATTGTTATTATGTTTTAGAGACTACCAGTAGATCACACATGAGATGTACTCACCCTATTTATTTTAACATGATGAAGAACTGGGGGTTGAATTTTAACAAAATGATATGAATAGACCTTTCATTTTCATTGAATTTTGTATAGCCTTACCTTATAAAAAATGTATTTCTATCGTCAGTACTCCTAACATGACTCTAACCTGGGTCGTGTAGTGTATAATATCGACATGTTAACCACTATTCCATACTGCCACGTATGTCAATGGGTCACGAGGTATATCACATTATGAGGTTGGATCGCCAATGAAACTAAGATGTGTTTGCTAGAGCATTCGACCGCATTATTTTGTTTCTTATAAGTGAGATTTCAGGGCCACAAGTAGCTCAATAAATATAAAATGTATCCTTCCTATTTGGTTATGCAATTTGGTAGCCTCTAAAGCCTAGTCATAAAACAAGAATGGGTAACGTAGTTTATTGCTATGCACGCTTAATTAGCAATCCCACCGCAGAATGTGATATGAGAGAAGGGCTAGTTTCCTTGAAATTCACATACGCCCTGGAGCCCAAGGGCGTAGTGGTTAACATGTCGAAATCATGCCTTGTGTTATCACGGTTCAAGTCCCGCTGCGGGTTCTGTTGCGACCCAGGCGAGGTTGGTGCTTCAGTTCACCCTAGACAAGAATATCCTTTGGGAAGCTTGATTGTCTAATTTATATTGTCGTGGGAAAATTCATCACTCTACGAAATAGGTTGAATATTTCTCATATATTAGTCACTCCATGTCGGTTAAGGTGGTTTATAGGCTAAACGTTTAATTTTCTCACAATTTAATGAGAAATCTCGACTAGCATCCACCAAATGGACTGACAGTGGCCAAGTTCTCAGCCGCGTGATTTGTTATTGAGCCTTAGTTTGTATGCAATCGGTGTCGGGTTAGAGTCTGGCAAGTCATCCCTCGCGGTTGGGCTTAAGGGTTGTAAGGCGGGTCAGGTTGTGACAGGGCGGAGGTCCAGTTTTCTTATCAGTTTACTACAATTCCTAGGGATTCTCAGCTTAGGCTGTCATACCGAGGATGAGTATGCGGGGAGCAAAAGGTTCGTTGAAACGTTCAGGTCATTCAGGCCACAGTCAGTTGTCTTATCAAATTGCACTTTGGGTTGACAAGGACGCTAATTATCTACGTTGCGTAATAGGGAGGAAAGGGAAAAGAAGGTACAAGATTTACCCTGCCTATAAAACTTACCTAAAATGGGTAAACAAGGGAAGCAAACTGCTGAGGCTATAATTACAACCGAAGCCTCATTTAAATTCCATCTTCCGGAGCCGATATTGAAGGCTATACCACCGAAACGTCAAGTCTCCCTTTGTACTCGCACGGGCCCAATTTCATAGTGACACTCACTGACTGATTAGTTCACTTTGCCTGTTGCCAACGCTGGTCTCGAAACGACAATCTGGACACACCCAGACTGGCTGTCAAGCGGTAGATGTATATTTTTCGAAAATTCCGCTATTCCACCGTTGAATTTGCTTATCTCGTGTCGTCCAACCGTGTGGATAGGCCGGCACTCTAATCTAAAGTACAGGGCTATCAATTGTCCCCTTATCTTGACTGTCTCTTCTCCCTCAGGCCAAGAGAGAGAAATCTAGTACGATGTGTCAGATAGCATCAGCACCGCCCTGTCCGGGCTTGGGCCCACCTATGACCCCTGGGGTCAGTGACTCG